GAATATGCAGCATGATGGTATGTGAGTTTGTTTGAATAGGTACTGCCTTCCCATACTCTGTGTACTGTGCACTAGGACTGCTGTACCCAATCAAACAAAATCATACAGGTAAAGACCTGTCGGAGTTTGTGTGATTGGGTGCTGTTGCAACAGCAGGTATATTGTACTGTTGAAGTCTGTGGGATTGGGCACTGTGAGGTAAGAGTGTTTTTCCAAGGTGTTGAAGTTTGTGTGATTGGGTGATTGATTGGGTGCTGCAGTTGGGCTGGCCCAACTATTGTTGACCAATGTCTGTGGGAAATGTCTCAACATTATCCAAGTCAATGTGTCTCACACTTGACACAATTCATAAAAAATGTTGCACTTAGCCCTATGACCAATGACATGACATTTGTAAACAATATGACTTTGGTACATGGTGGGTACATCATGCACACAGGACCTCTCTGCTGTAGTTGGGCCAGCCCAACTGTAGCACTCTAGTTAGGACGGGCCAAACTATAGTTGGGACTGATGCTTTAGTTGGGGCGTAACAGGTCCAGCAACCCTTGGGTGGTAAGTGCTAAAGAAACACTTGAAGTTTTCCTAGATTCAGTGTTTGAGGGCACTGTAACCAATCAGTATTAGTCTAGTCTCTTGAATTAGCATGTCTTGACTCTTGGTGTGCATCCAGTTCACACTGACGACTGTTAGGCTATACAGTAAAAAAAATTCAACTACCAGATTGCCACAGCAGGCCTAGTCATGCCTAGTCCAAGCAGGTACATATTAGTGTTACCCCAGACCTGTAGGATTGGCATTCACGGCAGACAACACACCCCACAGTTCTGGGGGTACATGTACATGTAGCTAGGTAGGCCCCTACATGTAACCATGGAGGAATTTCCTCCATGATTTCAGTAGGCCTAACTACGTGTAGTCCAACTGAGCAGACTCTTCAATTTTGCCTTTACCATTTGGACATGGTTGACCGACATACTTGTAGTTACTTGGAATACTACAGTAGGCGCCATGGCCTTGGATGGGCTGCCCATGATAAATTAATATGACTTGACAATGCCCAATAACAAACTGACAAACAAGAACAATTTGAATGTTTACCTGACCGCCCCTTTTATGATGAAATCCGATGACAAGAATGTGTAAAATCGGCCCTCTGAGAATGGAACTGCCGCTTGTGTCTATATGTGCAGCCTCTGCCATATTTCAAGCACTTGAAATAGTGGAATAGAATGACAACTCACATTTTATAAAAAGTGACAATAAATCTAATAACAGTCAGTAGGCTATCAGTGACAAGGCCTAAGCCTACTCACTTTCACTTTGTTTCAGGCATGTCAGGAAAATGAAGTGCGATTCCACCAAGTCCAGCTTCTAGCAAGCCGGCAGCTGGTCGACGATCAGACGATCTAGACTGCTAACGTTATGGCAGTGTTTATAAAATGAGCTACTATTGGTTCAGTTGAATCTTACGCATGTATATTTATCCAAACCACAAAAGACAAATCAGCAAACTACACTAGCGCGCATGACAAGGGATATAGGGCTAACACACATGCGCGTGCAGGCTGCTAGCGCGAGGCCTAGGCTAGGCTAGACGAAGAGACAGCAATGTACATATTTTGGGCTATATATTCGTGTTAAGTTGCCTCTTTAACGACCAATGAATTGAAGTCGGTGTCCAAAATGAGTTTTCTGAGCTACGGCTAGGGTAGTGTCTGTGTGTCTCTTCATATGTTTTTTCCAATGGGGTGGCATAGCTCTAGATAACAGATTCGATCGCGTGCGCTGCCACTTGCGCGTTTGGGCTACATTCACTGTGTCAACCACGAGTCGCATGTTTTATACATGACCTAACTCACTTCAGTTCAGAGCTTGGGTAAATTTGTCCTTTTAATCGACTATTTCCGTTTAAAGCAAGAAGTAAATAAAATTAGAATATCTGCAGACATTTTATGTCATGACAAGTTTTGCTGTGTTCACGTTAAATGCCTCAATTCCTTCCTCCATGGTCTGACCGTGGCCTCCTTCCTCCATGCTTACACGTACACGCACGTTGCATTTGAAGCTTCGAAGACGCTCGGCCGGGCACCTGTAGTTTGTCATGTGAGGGCGCTGTTTCACTTTATTGTTTTGGATCATGGAATAGAGAGTCCAACAATAGCAACATTATAATGAGAAATCAAAAATCAACATGCAGACATTATACATGCCGACATGTGCCATGGCAGACAGCGTGTAGGGTAACTGAAGCAGAAAATCTGAGGGGAGGTCAAATTGATAATTATGCTAATTTCCATAGTTGCATCATGGAGGAAGGAATAGATTAATTATCATTTTTAAATATAGGAATGAACTGAGATGGCTGTTTCATCAACAACTGTGATGCATCTGGTTGCAGTCTCCTTCCTCCTCACAATTTGGCTCCACCCACTCAGTGTGAATGCATCTTGGGGTGACCAGCATCATGTCTTCCGGAATTATCGTCGTTACTGCCTAAATATCAATTGCAGCACAGATTCTAAACTGGACAGATTCAATTCGAGACAACCACTGTACCTGAGATTGCTAGGCTGGGACTGTTGGTCTGAGTGTACGTACGAAAGTATGTGGCATCTTACACAAAAGACTCTGGATGAGATGGGAAAAGTACCACAGTTTTATGGAAAGGTACACAGAATACGGCATTCTAATTTTGGTAGTTATCGGTATTATAGTGAACTTGTCATCTGAATTTGTTACTTGTGAAGCCTTTAAACTTTACTAATCTTGTTCCCCGAGTCTGTTCTATAAATTGTAAACTATTGATCTGAATGGTAACTGACCTGTTTATGATTGATGTGGATTCCAAGCATGCCAAGCCTCCCTTTTGATACTTTTCAAAATCTGGCTCGAAACATTGAGGTATGTTTAATCACAAATATGAAATTATTCATCAAAACAGTTTAAAACAGGTAGGCCTACTAATTTGTCGTGGAATTTTTCCCATTCCAATTGTAAAAATTGGTTTAGAAGGTCATTTAATCTGTTGCCTTCATGCCACTGAATACAAAGAATTTTAGCTGTGTACGTATGAATCATGTAATAGTTGAGCCCCTGTGGATATTAACAAACACGCTTATATTCATTACATTTGTGTATTGTTTCCTCTTCATTCTAGTGGCCATTTATACGTTTCATGGGCATGCAAGAACCTGCCTCTTCCATCTTTTCCATTCTAAATGGACTTGTTGCAGTTTATATGCTGATCCAATTCAGGAAGCAAGTCCCATCAACTGCTCCCATGTATGAAACCTGGCATGGATATTTTGCTGTATGTTATGGCTGTTTTTTAAACCTTTATTAGAAGCTTCTCAAGTAACCCTGGTTTTAAACAAGATCAGAAATTAAATTTTTGCAACATCTTCCTGAAACCAGCAGCTTCAAGCTAATGGGAGGTTATGTTTCTTGACTAGTAAGATCACTGTAATTCAACAGACTTTACTGGCTGCCTATTGGATCTTGAATTCATCAGGGTTAGGATTGGGATTGGATTTATAGTCAGTCATCAGCTTTTGTCATCAGCATGTTTGAAATGGGTCTCGGATGATCATGTTATTGAAATTACATATATCCTAAATATTTTCATATAAAGTCCACATGGTTGGGAATTAAATTGTATGTAAGTTGATTTATCTGTTTTTGTTTTTTTCAAGAAACATATTTTTATTCATTATTCTTTTAGGTCCAGATCAACACATGGGTTTGGTCGACTGTTTTCCACTTCAGAGATGTAACATGGACCGAGGTACATGTATGATGCATGTATTACCGCTGTGAATGCCAGATATTTTGTACACATGTCCCCATTTAATTTGTTGTATTGATGTCGATTTTCAAATATTTATTTGAAACGTTCTTCTTGTGGGCAGAGCGTGGACAAATATTGGAATATCCTTGTTTTAAGCTTTCAGTCTGATTGGAAGGTATTATATGTTGAAATAACAGTGGAAAACTGATGTTGACTTAGACTTATAATTTAATTTTTTTTCAGAAAATGGACTACATATCTGCCTTTTCACTCATAGTTTCTGGATTAGTGATGTTCATTTTAAGGTACATGCATTCACGTATTACACATATTATTTGGAAAAAATAACCTCAAAATGTAAATTATTTTGTCTACCAGAGAGTATGAGCATGACTTACAGTGAAAAGAGATCAAGTTCCATTTTTACTCTTAAATAAATAGTTCTCATGTGTGTTCTTCTGTAGGGTCTTTTGTGTGAAAGGTAATACACTCAACCTGAAAGTAGCCATTCCTGCAGTATCTGTGATCGGCATCTTCTTCTTGTCACATGCATTCTATCTGGGCTTTACCAAGTTCAGTTATGGCTATAACCTTAAAGTCAATTTAACATTTGGTAAGTTGGCTGCTTCAATGACAAAATTAGTTTAGAAACCTGTTGCCATGAAAGGATAAACCAACTTGACCAACTAAGTCAACATTGTCATTATCAGGGTGTTACTAGGTCAATCTCAATTCTGTATCCTGTTATATTTTTTCATAAAAAAGGGGGAAAAAAGGAAAATTGAATACACTGCATGAATGGATTGAAAGGTATTTACTGTAAATTGTTATACTAAACATCGTTCATTTTGTGGTTCTATCATTCACTGACGATTTTCCATCCTTTCCATTTTTAGCTTTGATCAGCTCAGTTGCTTGGATTCTTTGGTCCATTGTCGTTCGTTCAAGACAACGCTATGTATGGAAAGCAATCCTTTCCATTCTGTCAGGCAACTTGTTAACCCTTCTTGAAGTCTTTGACTTTCCTCCAATTTGGTGGGTGTTTGATGCTCATTCTATTTGGCATGGAGGCACTGCACCCCTTGCTGTTGTTTTCTACAGGTAAGCTTTCTAATAACGTTGCTGACACTAAGCACAGGATCATGTTAAATAGGCTAAAAAGTACCAATTTGTTTGGTTGAAACTCCTATTTTGATGAGGGATGGGGGGTTGAAGTGGGGCCTGTTTGTGCATAAATTAATCTGTGTATGAAATGACCTATGATTTCCTCAGTAATCCATATTATGGTTTTTGTTTCACAGTTTTGTGATTGATGACTGCCTGTATTTGAATGAGGAGTACATGAAAACACCAGACTTTCGAAGAAAAGGAGTGTAATTCTGGAGTAGAAGTAACTGTTTTAGATATTGCTGCTGCTTACTTTTCTAAAAAGTACTTATAAATAAGTTCATACAGAAGTGCCGCAGTGTTCAGAAATTTTTGATTGAAATTGTTTGCTTTTTGGAAATCTTTAACACTCAGGCAATTAAGAATTTTGAGGAGTTTCTCATCTGCATTTATGAAGTACATTTTGTATATGGCGTGAACTCAGAAATTAAGTATGCAATCCAAGCTTTGTGCAATGTTTAAAAGTACATGAAATTGTTGTTGCACCGAAAGATATTGTGCATGTAATTGTATGCAGAATGTTGGTGTTTTCTATTGTGTAACTGGTTCACTCTACAAATTAGCATCTCTAATGATCAATTCACTGCATATGGGCTGTTGTAGGAATTTCCATCAAAAGTCAATATTTGGGCAGAATAACAGATTGTTAATGAAACTCACCGGATATAATTAATGCACAAATGTACATGCATCCTCATTAATAAGAGGTCCTTCGGACTTGGCAAATTACCTTGTTATAACAGGAACCTTGTATTATCAGGAACAAAAACAATGAAAAACAAAGGATTGGGACCCCCCAAATTTCCTTTTTATAAGCAGAATCTTGTATTAACAGTGCTCTGCTTAACAAGGTTTGACTGTACATGTCTTAAACAATCTTCATGTGCTCAATTTGATATATTTTTAGTGTTGCTATTTACCTGTTGACTGTGACTTTTGAAAAATTTCTTCCGAGTGAAAATATACTGCTGTACTTTTGTATTGAATTTTGGATAATGCACGTGTGAATATACTTTCTACCCTTTGAGCTTTAAAAAATGGAGGATGGTAGAGAAATGGTATCTGTTATATTGAATTGTAACTTTTTATTTATACTGATGAGTGTCTTGACATACATGTTTAGTTTCAAACATAGGCAGAGATCCTGGTGGATACATGTACATGACCGGGTGATTACCAATGTAATCATTCCCCCCTCACTTTTCAAGTCAACAACTTTATGTGCACCCGGCTTTGCCCCTACACTCCAGAGGCAGCCCTTAGGCCCCCCAATTGAAGTGGGACCTTGGACAGTGTGCAGTGTCACACTCCACTCAAAGATGACCTTTCAGAAATCTTCCCCCCCCCACATGTGACAAGAAATCTCCGCCCATAGTTTCAAAATTATATGGCATGTGACAGCTGAATTCGAGAGGGGGAATCTGCTCCCCAGCAGCTGTTAGAGGGTCCAAAAACAAGCTTGGCTTTGCTTCTTAAAACTCACAAAGTGAGTGTTTAGGTAACTTTTGTGCAAATTTTATAAACTTACAATTTGGAACACTGTTACAAAAAGGTCCTACGGACTTCACAAATTACCTTGTTATAATAGTTACCTCGCATTTTCAGCAATTAAAAACAAAGTAAATCAAAGAGTTGGGACCTAAATTTGACCTTGTTATAAATATGACCTTGTATTAGCAGTGCTCTTCTTATCTGTGTTTGACTGTGGGGTATAGGTCCTCATTTCAAAGTGATGTAGACCTGTACATGGATTTCATTTGAGTGTTCTGAAGCAGTTTCAATTATGGAACAGAACTTTTTTAGTCTTTTCTTGGGTCTGTATATGTATACATGTACAACGTATTAATGGAAATGCTTTTGTAAAGTACAGCATGTATAATATAAAGTTTTTACTATGCAAGCTAATCAATTTTATAATTTTTGCAACTGCATAAACATGTACATCGCAATTTATTTTCAATTTAATCTGTACGTGGCAAAATAATTCTTTTCGGTAAACTTCTCTACTTACATCGTGACAGAACAATAAAACACAATGAACAAAAGTGTCAATGCATTTCTCAATTCCATTCACTTTTTTATTGTTACCAAGATAAATATCTTTAAAAAGCAATCAAGGTGTGGACAGCACATTTATTAAGCACAGGCAAATTTGGAAATATTGGAAACATTTCCAATTTATAAACTGCTGAAAAATGATAAAAATCTCTTCCAAAAAGAGACCAAGTGACTATTCAGTGTACATGTGTACTAATCTGGTGGGAAATAGCAATATGGACGGATTTACAATACAAACTTCATGTATTTACATTTGAGAATGAACATTCAATTGAGTATTACCAAATTTAAACAACAGGCACATATGTTCATTTAATTGTTAGGCTATATACTGTATTGAACTCGCACGACTCAATAACTGGGCACCTTGCCATCTGAACTCGAAATACCATTTTTCTGGAGGGTGCATGCAGCTGTACTAAAGCTTTTTTCAACTCCTCCAAATGGAAACTTTGCAGAAAATGAAATGACAAATATTGGTGTCCCTCATTTTGAAATGGCTATGGAAAATATGTTACATGTGTATGTTAACTAATGTTTAACCAATGAATTACAAATTGGCTTTGCATTACACACTTAACAGTCTACAGAACTGACTGACTTTGGCACCCTCCAGGAAAATTCCGTACAATTCAAATATTCATACATTTCATGTGTACATCATCTATTTACAAAGTTCTCCATAGAAGGGATTTTTACCAGACAAATCCTAGCCTCTTTGATGTTTTGCCTGTATTTCCTGCATGGGAATACTTAACTTCATCAGTGCTGTTCCTCTGATAATGTGGCAACTCAACGTCGGTGTAATCATTGACTAAATAACTTGGTCGGATACCTCCCTTTCCATCAAAGACAGGACCTAGCCCACCCCCATGACCCTCTCTAGCAGCCTTCCTTAGTGGATAGGTATTCCTTTCACCCTTCTCACAGTGATCAATAACCTTCTTAGCATATTCTTGGAATTGCTGCTCTTCCATGGCAAGTAGCTCTAGATTCTTCTTGTCCATCTCAAGTTTCTCCTGCTCTTCTTTTAGTGCCTTATCCTGCCTCTCTCCAGCTTGTTTGATGTGGAACGTAGCCAACCTGACATTGCCATCTCTAGCCTGCTGATATTTCTCCTGTTGTTTTGCAGCAAACAACTTGTCAGCTTCCATTTTGACATGAAGTGCCTCTAGCTCTCTTCTCTTCTCATCTCGTTCTTGCTGCTCTCGTTGTTTCATCTGTAGCAGCCTATGCTCAGCCTCCTCCTTCAGAGCTTGTTCTAGCTTAAGCTCTTTCTCTTGAGCTTCTTTCTCTCTAGCTGCCTCACGTTCTGCCACTGCACGAGCAATACGATCATCCTCATCATCCATCTTCATTTTGAGTTGACTGTCCAGTTTGTCCACCATTTTGTTCACGTGGTCTTGTTTTTTTCTGGGAAGAAATTGGGTTAATACACTGTCAGGCAAATCTTTTTGGAAAAAGATTTCAGTAATCAGTCTCGCGATACACAAGGAAACTTTAAGGAGGCATGAAAGTGCCAAGAGAAATGCCATGTATAGTCTGCTACAATGCTAAGAGAATTTTTTATCACATATCAAGAGTTAACCTTTCAACAATTCGTGCTTTGATCAATCTAGCCCATCATGTTTCTATTGAACACTTCGATGTCTATTGACTTACTGCCACAGTTCCTGCTCTCTCTGCTTCCTCAGTTTAGTCATCTTCTTCTTGGCAGCAGCAAAGATGCGAATCTGTTCCTCTTCTTCTTCTTCTTTTTGTCTCTCTGCTGCTCGGATCAGATCCCTGTCAGCCACTGTCTGTTTATGAGCCATCATGAGATCTACCTTCTCCTGTCGTCGTATACCTTCAATCTTGGCTTTTTCAGCATTGTAATGAATGACTTGTTGCTTGAGGTCTTCACCTTCCCTGACATCTTCTACTTTCTCCTTCTCCCCGTCTGCAATGTGCTTCTCAATTCTGCAAAGGAATTATTGATCACAGTCAATAAACAGAAGGCAATGTAATGTTGTCAACATATTCCTTCATATTACCAGGAATGGTTCCACCAGAAAGAATCAAGACTTTCCAAATCTGAAAAATGGATGCAAGAAAGGTTTCTTGATCTTGATTATGCCACTGCAGTTGAAACTGTGATGTTTTACTAGCTACAGTAACTATGTCTCCTAATACATGTACTCACTGTTTAAGTTGGAATTCAGCCACTTCCTTCCTTTCCTTTATTGCCTTGACAGCTTTCTTGTGATCTTCTAGGATGCCTTCTTCAAGTTCTCGTTGATAGCGAGCTAATAGATCCTTGTCTTTACCTGAGAGGGCTGCTTCCCGCTGTTTCTTCAGGTCGATCTGGGCTTCACGCTCCTTCAAGACTTCTGTCAACAATAATGCTCCCTGCATAATAAGGACATGTAATTATTCAAAAAGTGATATTTGCAAAACATGGTAATCGTGCTACCTACCTACATATTTGAAAACATGCATTTACATGTACATGTCCCTTGTTTATGAAACCTGCATACTTTTGTACATATTAACTATGGTACGTGCCTTTATGCAAATAAAGGAAAACTAAAGGCTTGTTTGACATTTGCAAAGTTTTCAATCTAAAAACAAGCACAGAATATTTCTATAATTTGACATACTTGTAAAAACTGATTTTTTTTTTATTTTAAGGCACTCATCAAGATAAATCTAGCAAAATTGATACAATGTGTTTCATTTCATGCATGCTCATTTGGAATACCTAGTTAGCTTATTGACTGAGCATTTTGTTGTGTACTTACATGGAAGCCTTTAACTCTGTCTGTTTGATAGTACTGCAGTGTTTTAGCTTTCTCAATAGCTTCTTTCCTACGCTGTGCCTGGAACTTGGCCTCTTCAATATCAATCTGAACTCTCTCGGCTTCTTCTTTCTCCTCCCTAATGGCCCGTGCTTCAAGTTTCTTCAAACGCTGACCCTGTTAGACCAATTTAGAAAGTTCAACATAAGTCAAGGGTTTTTGGAAGGGGTAGGCTAAGGCATTTTGCCTGCCAACTCTGTTTTCAAATTTGTCATACTTTTTGAAATTTGATAAACTTCTTATCTTATTATCTTATATTATATTAAAAGAATGACGTGAAAGAGACTGAATTTGGGGGATATTACCTCTTTCATCTGAAAATGTTTACGTTGAAGCAACAATATTGGTTCTCATAAGTGACTGAAATTTGTACAGCAAGCAACATTTTTATGCACAACACAAACTTTTTCTGAATTAATGCCTGGATACTAACAGCGATAGTGTTACTCCAATTCTTCACCATCTCTTGGGATTGCTTTTTCAGTGCTTCTTTCTCTTCCTTCAATGCTTTTCTCTTCTCCTCTTCTCTTGATTTCCTCTCTAGTTGAGCAGCGATACGGTTCCAATCTCCCTGAGAGAGGATAGTAACTTGTCGTAGATCTTCCTCTGTAGGTAAACCCATCATCTTAGTGTTGGCACCAGAGGGTGGCGTTGAACCTGTTACATTCAAATAAAGTTTTTAATATTAAACAAAATGGCATTAAAATAAAATAATGTGCATGAATTTTGGTGACATAAGTTGTGCTTCAGCTGATCAAACTCCTCCAAGGACAACAGCGCTCCTGGTCCTCTATTTGCTGTTGCATCATAGACAAGCAGTGGTCTTCAAATTACATGCATTAGGCCTAGGCCTATTCCATGTATAGGCCCCGAGGCTATATGACCTAGGCCTATATGAAGGCCTAGACCGAGGAGTTTTTTGGTCAAACTCATTAAAGATAAAGTGAAGTCTTAAAGTTTACTTGAGAGAACAGTTTATGTGAGAACAAATTTGGTCACCACGACCATGGTGACTCGGGGATAAGGCACACGGGGTTGTATCTCACTGACTTGTACTAACTTACACAGTTTCTGAAGTGGCCTAACCCTGGGCCTAAATACTTCTTATAGTATACTATGGAATCCATCACAAACGTGCAGCGCTGCGCGCTCTCATCGGCATGCAGTCTCATTCGTGCAGACTAATTAAAATGGTTAAACTTACCCCTGGATTGCCCTTTCCTCCGACCGTATTTCACAGTTTCTCCACTTAATTCCATAACGTACTTCTTAGAAATAATTCAGAGATGCCAATATACCCCAAAAGTCTATCGCAATGAATACTAAGTAACCTGCACATTCAAGTTTACAGTCAACGTGGTGACATTTGTGACTGCATTCCTTGGCCGCGGATATCTTTTTAAACACATTATGCACACAGCGCTCGTTGCTAGGGATGTCAACATCAACACAACGCGCATGCGCTTTGTCTCTGTTATGAGCGGGGGGTTGCAACGGGTAGAAGAACACGCGCCCTGTGCATAGTTTACCAATACCAGCCTATTCATTTTTGACGTTTAACTACCGTTGCTGAAATTAAAAGGTCTAACATGAACCGTTAATTCATGATTAAGAAACTCCTATGGTCCAGGCAGCCAGAGAAACATACCATGGCGGTAGTACCATGGAGGAAGGAACATTCCTTCCTCCATGGTAGTACAAAGCTGTTTTTGCACGAGGTAGGGGCGTAGCTTTTCTTACCCTAATCATGGAGGAAGGAACACATGGATGACATGATTTTTTTCTGAAAGAACGACAAAGAAAAGAAATAAAATGCAGTAATCAGCTTTGAATGAGACAAAGCTTATGCGTTTTGGCGCTACTCCACTTGTCCTTTCATCATGTGATTCTCCATGCTTGTATCATTTTTGTACAGAGCACGAGGAGGCACAGTGGTAAAATGTACGTGCAGCACAAATTAATTTACATAACAAATGAAGATTGACGTCATATGATAAACAAGTGTACATTCGCCTGGCAACTCTTATCGGGTGAGCAATGGCCGCCATCTTCTGCGAAGTGAGTGGGAAAATGCAACTTAACACGACAACTTAACATCATATTGCTGATTATGATGATTTCCAAGCTTACAGTTCAGTTCACGAAATTTGTTTACAGTGTCGATTAGGTAGGTTCTGCTATGTGCTGCAAGAAAGTTGTTCTGACAAACATAACAAAAGTGGTCGGTGAAAAAACAAAGTACTTAGGCCTACTGCTAGCCTTAAACCATGTAAACGCACTGAACGTTAAGCCTAACTTTACTTCGGTCTGGATTTGCGTCCGCGTACGAGTCCGGTTGTAAAGTACATGCCATAGTGCCACTTGCAAGGGTTGTTAATTGCTTGCCGACGTTAGATTCTTAGTGTGGTCATTATGATCGGTCATGGAGGAAGGACATAGTGGGATTTACTGTGAATATGAATTTGGACATTCAAGGACATGAAACTTAAAGATGTTCAAGACTAATGACGTTAGGCCTAACTAGTTAGTATAAAGAAACCACAAAGTGCAGTTGCCCTAATTTCTTTTTTTTCTTCTGTATTTAATGTAAATAGGCTAGTATTACCCAGTGCAATATTGGTTAGTGCGCCTGGAAATCAAGATGGCTACCATGCAGAAAGCAAGACATAAAAAGACAAAAGTCAGTCCAGCAGATGAACCAGAAGACAGACCTGCCTCCTCATTATCTCATAATTGTGAGTACTGTTTTATATATTTTAATTTGAAGTTGCTAGCTTTGTTATTCTAAGAGTTCGGACATACAGAAATGAATGAGGGCACTATCATTTTGGAACTCAATTTTTTAAATTACAAAAATTTGTTGTTTGCTCTAGCTCCTCTATTTAAATTTCAATTTCAAACCTTTAGAAATTTCAAGTGAAGCCAGCATTTAATTCATTGAAATAAGGCACGAATATGAACTTAAACTTTACGAAAATAGGAATTTTAAGCTTTTCAGTCCAAATCCACACACGTTTTTGTGTGCAAAATAGTCACAATTTGCTCTGCATTACACATGTACAGAAAAACATCCCTGAACATCTCAAATATCCCTGCTTCAAATCAGTAGTTCTTTACTTTGCAGAGTCTGATGTCAAAATGCTTCATATGTCATCCTTTCCAAGACCACTTCAAGAAGAAAACAGAGACAAATGGTTGAAAAAATTACGAGCCTCCCACTAGGCCTGTGCCACAGTTTTCATGAGGATCACCTACAGTGCTTTGCTCAGACAAGACTCAAATGAATTACCTCTTGATTAGAACTACATGTACTGCATATACCACAATTTGTACACGTACCTATCCCGTAGTCAGGCTGACCCGTTGGGGCACCATTGAAGATTTTACAGCCAACTCCCTTCACTCCTCACGGTTCTCAGCTTTTCGCAGTATGCTGTTCCATTCAAGGCCAGTCCACTCTCTGATGTTGTCTTTCCATCATTTTCTCAGTCTGCCTCTTCATCTTCCTCATTGTACTGTTCCGTGTAGGACAGTCTTGGCCAGTCCAGATGATCGTGTGACGTGCCGTACCACCTCAGTTTGTGTCTCTTCACTGAAGTCAGCAGGTCTTCATATGACCCAATGACAAATTTTGTAATTTTTACGGAACAGTTAGTTCCTCTGATCTCATGCCAACTTTCTGTTTTTTTTCCTTTTCCTTACAGCTTGGGTTGAGGATTTTGATGTGGAGAATCCTACAGACAAGGAAAAGTATGGGGTTGATAACACTGCTTATCAAGTGACAGAAGTAGAGAAACTGCCTCAGGGAACTCTGACATCTGATTTGAAAGGTCATGGGGGTAGTACAGTGTCAGTCAAAGAAGCAGAAGATGGTGATCGGATAGACTTCACAGATGAGGTCAGATATTAGTTCTTTAATTCAACTGCCACCGTTTAGTATGATTATTTGATTGCATGCCTCTAACTTCAGTACTATCAAACTTTTTTCAAGTTGAATTTTTCATTATGATTAATGTGAGGCTTATTTAGGACATTTCTGCTTTAACTTATTCCCTCAGCCGGGAAGTTATCTCATAAAAGGAACTGACTGTCAAGTTTTATTGCTGCATGTATCTTGAAACAAAGAAGACATTAATAGATATAGTATAGTTGTCCTTTTGGCTAAATGGGACATGATCTTGTTTTGATAGGAGTTAGACTTCCAGGAGGAAGTTGTGAATACTGGAGATGAGCCCCAGGACAGACCACTTAGTGAAGGTTCTTACGCAAGGTCTACAAGTCCCTATGGTGGAGACAGCTATACTGGATCAGTCGATGGAGACGGGGTGAGAAAGAAAAAGAGAAGGCAAAGAAAGGAACGAGCAAATGTTGTGACACCAGTCAATGATGATGCAGATATGTCAGTGTCAGTGAGTGATGAAATACCTTCAGAACTTAAGAAAAGGCCAAGTGAAGGTGAGTTGCTGGATATCCAGGTCTGTCAAGGGTCAGTGTAAACAAGCTCAAAAATCCTGCTAATAAAACTAAAAACAAAATCCAGAAGTAGTAATACATTATTACTGAGCATTTCTTTCTAGTAGTTGTTAACGTGTTCTCTCTAAGGGAAAGCTGCCAGAGGCCCTTTTTCAGGATCGTGTATCCCCAAAAATCATCTTGTATAATCTGTGCTTGTCATTTTGAGGAAATAAATGTCTGTTTTACTGGTATTTTTTCAAAGTGTTTCACTAACTACAGTTTACATTGTGATTCTTCCTTCTAGCATGGAGCATGTCCAGTATTCATAACATCAGTGAGATACCCATGGATGCTCCATCAGAGCGCCCCAAGTCAAGTGGCATTACCCGAGCCAAATCCCCTCAGACACGAAACCGATCCCCTGGGGCGGGGACTCACTCTGCTAGTGCCTCTCGTGCTCAGTCTGTCATCAGTTTGCGAGAAGTTGATGAGAACCAGAGAGTTGATGGGCTAAACGATGCTGGGCAGTCTGGAAACAATACCAGGGCTAATGAAGGTAAATAAATATTTATTGTTCATTTAAATAGTTAATGTGCAAGTTTTCCTTTCCATTTAAGTAGAACTCGGGTCACGAGCATCTCTATGTCCTTCCTTCCTAGATAATCGTAGTCTTGTTTCAGCGATAACCAGCCCTCTTTTGAAGCCTCCACAGTTAGAGCATGAGCAGCAAGCTTACGTTCCCTACGTGTATGCCCGAGACTGCCTTGCTAAGGTCATGGATGATATGAAGAGGATGAAGCTTAATCATCTCCGCATCGTTGGTCAAATTGAAGACACTTACAAGACGATTGAAGATGAGACTCAAGTGAGCAATTGTATTTGACCACACTTTACAAATTCACATACACTGGTTTCAGTATATTTTCATTCTACAAGTTGGTGTGAACCATATTCCCCGGACACGATTTCAATCAAATGAACATCATTTCTACTGTAAGCTTCAACAACATTGAACTATTGATATTTTCAGATTATATGATAAAAAACTTTGTTTTTTTTTCTTGTTATTAATCAGACCCAGTTTAATATGTTTGTGGGTGGCCTTCGTGTCCAGTACAAAGACAAAGTCAAGACCTTCCGGCAAGTGATTGAAATCCACCGTGAAGATTTTGGAAGTCATAAAAATTACTGGGAAGAGACATTAAAGGTGAGACTTAATGGCAAAGATAACTTGACTTATTGAGTTAATTTTTGATATGCGTGTACCCTAGAATTCAACTTCCAGTTTCCATGGAGTGAAATGAAAATTAATGAACCCAAACTTACGTCTTTGATATTTCAGAGTCTGAATGCTAAAAACAAAGCTCTGATGAAAGAAAAGAAGAAACTGCTCATCATCAACAAGATTGAAATTGACAGATTGGAAAAAGAAAAGGTATGACTTTTCTACGTTATACATGTAGTGTCACATTAAAATGTTACCCTATTTCATTGTAAAAGCTGAAACAAAATTGACATTTCTTCATGGCTTTACGTGACTCAGGGTACTCAAAGCCACATCTGTTATTTTTGTTAAGAATTTCCTCTACTGGTTAATGTTGCTATTTTGTATTACAGGAAGAGCTTATTCAAGAGCTTACACAGAAAATGGATCAAAACCAGTCAGCATTTGTCTCCAGAGAGAAAGGTTTTGAGGATGAGAAAAAGGTAAAGTCAATAGTCACTCAAAGTTGAATAACTACATTTATGCTTAAAAATAAACAAGCAGAAATTGGTATTTCAAGACTGCAGAGATGACTAACCAGCAGCACCATAAAGTAAGTTTTATTTTCTGTTACACTGGTCCAAAATGATGTTTACAATTAAGATTGCTAGCTAGTCAGAGAAAGTAGCAAATGCACTGCTGCATTAAGGGTTATGCTTGGTTCCCTCCTTAGATCCTTGAAGATAAGTTACAGTCAGAGCTAAATGCAGAGAAGAAATTGCATCAAGAAGAAGTGGAGAGACTTCGGTTGGAACTGGAGGAGGCAAGAACAACTGCTGTAGCTTTGCCAATCATCACCGATTCCAGCGTCAAGGAAGTCACAGCTGATGGAGAAACACAACGAGCATCATCAGCAAGGAGGACATCTCAGACCAGTCTTCGATCTGAAGGAAGAAGGGGATCAGTAGGTGAGTCTGTGGGAGGAGTCTTAGGTGTGGCAGCAACGGCAGCCATTGTGAGCAACAAGATGTCAGACGCAGAAAGGCGACGATTAGAAGATCAAAAAGTGGAGATGCAGAAACAGATGATACAATCCCAGAAGGTAAGCATCGTCCTTGGACTATTAAAAGGTCAAATCCTACAGGGTCTGTCAGGAGGAACGGGTGGGAAATCATTCCTTCCTTATTGACTGATGCCACCCTGGTAGAGAGTGCACTGTGGTTGGAAGCATCAATGGACATTTTTTGAAAATATCACTTGAAGTACCATTAGTACAGACAGTCGAGGAACCAGACTTGCAGAATTGTTTGATTTTGTCTTCTAGGAAGTAACTTCAGAATTTGAATCATAACTATGTACAGTGAATTATGTGGTGAAGTTCAGTGCATTCATTGCATTGGACACTGTCACCTTCATTATTTAAAAGAAAAAGTTCTTGAAAGCTTTTTCTTTCTCTCTTGAAACAATAGGATCTTGTGATGCTTCAAGCAAAGTACGATTTCCTCCAGGCTCAATATGCAACATTAGCAACATTGGCTAAGAATGATAATGATGGAATGATCTCAGAGCATATGGAAGCGACTCAAAAAGACAAGGAAATCATGGATGAGGAAAGCCAACAATTGAAGGAGGAGATAAGGCAGTGGGAGGTAGACTTCAAGAAACAGACAGGACGCGAACCTACTAAAGATGATAGGTAGGTGGTTGGAAAGAGTGGATGGATGAGATAGGTTGGTACGGTAGATTAATTGAATCTGTTTAACAGTTTGGAAACATGGTGAGAATTGTTTTTCTAACCATGAATGCTGTACTTCTACAGATCAGAGACTGTGCAGGAGTTAGAGACTCAACTCTCAGAAGCAGAGACAAAGAAGGCTGAGTTGGATTCCAAAATGATGACATTGGTGGCACTCAAGGAGGGCAAGATACCTGAGACACATCCAGCAAGCATACCAGAGCCAGTCATTAAAACAGTAGAGGTGAGGTCATGCACAGGAAGATAAATGCTTTATTGAAGGTCATAGGATAAATTCATTGACCAAATCATCATAAAAATGGAATGTTAAATTAGGCTAGTTTGTTTCATTCCACATAGATACAATCCAACTGATTTTTGTTGTGTTTAAATTTTATCCACAGATTGCAGTTCCAGATCCATCAACTGTAGTAGCTCTCACAGCCTCACAGGAACAGGTCAACAAACTTCAGACTCAGTTAAAGGAAATGGAGATCAGTTTAAGAGAGAAGGACAAAAAGATGAAGATGTTGGAGAAGGACAAGAGAAATGTGAAGAAGGAGAAGAAAGTTGTTGGACAATCAGGAGAGGATGAAAAACAACTCAAGATGATTCTTGGAGCAGTCGTTGCTCAGGTCAGCTTTCCAGGGTCACATAACCCTAATTATGGCAAATCGAAGACACTTCAGACTGGGGTAGTTTAGTTGTTAATAGCCTATGTCAACGGCACTGCTCAAGTTAAGCTATGGTGATCGAATTTGAAGTTTTGGTATTAAATTTGCATATGTGTTTCTTCTCAGTCTGCCATTCAGAAGTCATCTGATGATGATGTTGCTGCCAAGTTAGAGAGGGCAAAAGCTGAAAAGGAAGACTTGATAGCAGAGAGGGACAAGGTGAAGCAGGACTTGGAGTTATGGGTAGACAAGTACAAACAGGAACATGGTAGCTACCCTGAAGAGACAGACAGGTGAGTCGTATACTTACAATAGAGAAATGAATCCCTTGGTCAGGAGTTCTTGCAGTTGATACACACATAAGGCTACTAACTATACACAAGTTTTACTTGACAAAAAGCAGGTGACAAGTCAAAATATCTTTTGATAATTGGATCACTTGTGCCTTGTTTTCAACTGATGCTGGTTTATTGCTCACATTTGATGAGAAACATTTTCTACCTGACAGGTATATATTGGTATTTGTTTTGTCAATATGACTGCTAAGCTTAAAAAGAAACTGGCGCTAACTAACAGTGAAAATCCTGACGTTTCTCATATTCCATGTTTGCTTGAATTTCACTTTTGAACGTCTGTGCAACAGTTTGTAAAAAGTTAATCCCAGAAAAATTCCTGCAATATTTTCAACTTTCAGAGACATGCACCCCTACATGCCTATCTAGTTTCGTACTTCTATTGAATCAGCACCAAACTCACTCCATTTTCTGTTGGTTTTGTCTTTCTAGGGATGAAGAAGCAAAGGCCTTATATGCATCTTTGGAAAATTGCAACACTAACTGTCTATCCAACGAAACAGATGTTACTGCATTGTCCATATTGGTGACAGGGCAGATACCTGCAGACCTTCAACCTATGAAAGAGGCTCAAGTGTCTCTGAATGCAACAGGTGAGTGGGGCTTGATACAGAAATAAATAGGCAGATACAGGAGTGTTTGATATCTTGGAGTGATTGTGGCCCCTTATGAATAGCACAACTTGGAGGGCAAAGTATATGTACATTGTCTTTGGCAAATGCCAATGTTCTCAACTGTAAGAGACTGGAATTTGTATGTATGTGCCATGGTTGAATGATTTCATGTGATTAAACAAAATCATATTTGATGTCATGTTTAGGTCCTGCAAGCTCACAAAAACTTCAAGATCTTGAAGATCGCATTCAAGAACTTGAGGAAGAAAATGAGCAGCTGACAGAGAGAAATTCTGATCAAGAAGAGACCATCAGAGAACTGGAGCTGACAAAAGAACAACTTGAAGAAAGACTAGCTGAGTTGGAGTCAGGGGGAGGGGCAGCAGCTGCTGCAACAGCCGCTGCTTTGGCAAATCTTGACTTTGACGATGATGATGTTGAGGTATAAGTCATTCCATTTTTTGTAGTGGATGTTGAATTTTTAAATTTTCTGTAAGTTTTAAGAATGCTATTTGTGTTATGTTATAATAAGGTAGCAGAGTAAATTTGGGTCAGTGAAGTATATGTGAGCCCTTTTTTTCAGTTTGCTGTACATCTGAAATAATTTTTGTTGACAATTGGCTTGGACATTCAGGGTTTTGGCGCTCAACTGGCTGCACTTCAGGGTCAAGTTGATAGTATGGAACGCAAAATCCGAGATGAGAGATCCGCTCACGATGACACCAAGGAAGAACTGGAGATGATGAAGGTGGAGTTAGAGAACGTAAAAGCAGAGAAGAGGAGCTTGGTGGAAGAGCTGGATGGGAAAATTACCTCGGCAACTGCTGCTTTGGCAGCTGAGATGAAACTTAAAGAAAAGGTTGGAATTAATTCATAATCATTTGCCCTGAAATGTTTAAGTGTTATTACTGTGAATTGTACTAGACAACGTTCAGCAATTATTTGGATTTGTGCCAAATAAATAAATAAACAAATGTTTGTGTATTACTTTGTAGTCTCTGGAAGAAACCAAACAACGTCTTGATGAGTTGGAAGCAGAGAAACTTCAGAACCTCCCAGTTGATACAGCCAAGGAGATTGCATTACTACAAGGCCTAGTGGTAAGGATACCAGTATCTTGACCACTAACTGGGAAGGAATTCTGGCTAACATATCTCAGACTCAGATTAAGCATGAAAGGACCACTTTGTACAGCTTTTATATAAAACACTCAAATTCTTGTTAACAAAAGCAGTTTGTCAGCCAGAGTTGTGTGTGTTGCACATTGGTTTTGATCAGCTTTAGTGTGTTTGTATTTTTGGCCCACACTCAAAGTTTACTTTCTTTTCTATAGAAAAAAGCAGAGAAGGAAAAAGAAGATGCTCAGAAGGCAAACATCGGAGGAACAGCTGATCTGGATAAACTAAAGATTGAGTTGAAGACCTTGAATGAATCTCTGGCAAAAGAGAGGGAGGCTAATCGAGCTCATCAGGTAGGTCGGTCTCAGGGATATAATGTGAGTTGATTTTTTTGCATTATTGCCACGTCCTATGGTTTCAAATAATTCCTTCATTTTCAGAAGTGTAACTTTTTTGAATCAACAAGTTTTCATTTTCTGTCTCTGCCATTATAAGATTGTCAGCATCAGCAAGTCTGGTGTAGCTTTGAATGACCTCATTTAGGCCCCTATCCGCACTGACTTCTATGGAGATACTCTGATCCTTGTATCAATCTGAAGCCCTCAATTTTCAGCTTGTCAATTTTCATCTAGTTCCTATTCAATTTGTTGTCATTCCAGGATAACTTGAAGAAAAAGACGGCAGAGAAAGACAAGCAGGCTAAGGAGATGGTATTAGCGACAGAGAAGAAATACCTACAGAGAGAATCAGAGCATAAAAAACAGATCCAGGCTCTAGAGAAGAAAAACAAAGAGATAGCAGCAGCTGGGGGTGCAGGCAGAGGGGTAGGAGGTGCGAAGGTAAGAGGACTGCACCTAGGTACAAATTGAAGGAATACAGGAGAAGGAAGGGGTTTCAAGGGCATAGGAAGGTGTGTGAGAACATTACAAGAGTATAAGAAGACGAACAGGAAGAATGCTGAGTGGACTGAAGGAGAAGTAGAGGTGTCAAGGCTCAAAAAATGAGTTTGCAAGGAGTGGAAAGTTCACAATGAAGTACCAAGATACTGTTTGATGGGCTGTACTTACTTGGTTTCTCAACTTCATTTAATTTGTAACCCGTGCATAACTGTTAGTGTTGTATATTTTCAATGCTTGGGAAGACTTTGTTATTTTGGTCCGTCCCTTGATGGTAACTTTCAGGGAGGTGCAGATGCTAAATCAGAGAGGAAGATAAAGTTACTGACCGATCAAGCTACTACACTGAAGAAAACGGTTCAGGAGAATCAAGACAAGATACGACAACTAGAGAAGGATCTCAAGGAGGCAAAATCTGGAGGGACAGCTGATGTAAGTCATTCTCATCTTCCTCTACTGATAGGCTGTGATGCTGATGATTCCAGAAAAAGTATTAAATGTATTTCCTAGAAAAAGGTTACAAGAAATGTTCCCCATCATTTATCAATGCCATAATTGTGTATTGATGTGAACATCTGTTTTGCCTCAACTCAGAAACAAGCGGGAAAGAAGATGGAAAAACAACTGAAGGATCTCGAGAAGAAACTGGAGATGGAACAGAAGAAATTTGAACGAGAGAAAAAGAATGCTACTGAGCTAGATGCAGAGTTGAAGACAACCTCCAAGGTAAGTGCACATCCCTTGAGAATGGTTCCATACATCCACTGAGGAGCCTGGTTCACAGTAGATTTACTGAGAAGAATTAGTGCTTGTTCCTTGAGAAGGTTCGACTTGTTCTCAAAAATCTGTCCATGAAGTCTTACAGATGTCCGGTTTTAGAGTGCTAGCCAATGACCACACAAGAAGACAGCAGAGAGCCCTCAACAGCTGCACAGACCACAGCGTGCGCAGCATTCCTGCTGACTGTTTCCATTTCTTTACAGGAACTAGATGGGGCTAAGGAGGAGATCAAGAAATTAACCAACCAGATTGATGCATTGGGAGTGGCTGCAGCAGAGGCCTTAGAACTGAAAGAGAAAGTAACCGAACAAACAGCAGAGTTGAAGAAACTACAGAGTGAGCTGAAAACATTGACAGAAAACTACAACAGTGAAAGGGTCAGTAGTAATGAGATGATAATTTTTTTTTGAAATTTGTACGGCAAGACAGCGGACTGCTGGGGTTGGAGGTTTGAACTGCATTCGAGTTAGTTTTTTGTACTTGACAAAGCAAAAAATATTTGTTTGTATATATTTTAAATGTACATGCTTTGTGACACAAAGGTTGTTTGATTGACATGCATTTTGTTATTCATTGTATCCGTAGGTTTTGAGGAAGAAGTATTACAATATGGTTGAAGACATGAAAGGGAAGATTCGAGTCTACTGCCGTTGCAGACCTCTCAGTAATACAGAGAAAGGCAGAGTAGGTTTATAGGACTTGTCATGATTTCCTTTGGTGGTTCATAGAAATTTCCAAGGATTCGCAATTTATTCTCAACCAAGTGGTCCAGGCACACAAATAACTTTTGTAATGATTTTCATTTGGGTTTGTTAATTATGTCAATGCTACCTTTTGCATCTCTTCAAAACTGAACTAGACGAAACCCAGTATGCTATTATTTTGGTCTCTTTGTTTCCAGGGTAACTTCTCCATTGTCAAGGCACCTGATGAATATTCCATTGAGGTTCAGAGCACCCGAGGATTGAAAGAGTTCCAGTACGATCATGTCTTCATGCCAGAGACCACTCAAGCTGAGGTCTTTGAAGATACCAATGTAAGTTTCCCAGACATTAATTACAGATGAGTTTACAAAATTTGATGAACTTAGGATTCAGTTATTATTCCACTTACATGAGTTACTTTCTCCATTTGTTGTTGTTTTGTTTCCATTTCTTATAGAATCTGATTCAGTCTGCAGTGGATGGCTACAATGTCTGTATTTTTGCCTATGGCCAGACTGGTTCTGGTAAGACGTTTACGATGATTGGTGATAGAGAAGGTAACTTCCCAGGGATTGCACCCCGTGCCTTTGATAAGATCTTTGAGGTCATTGAGGAAAACAAGTAAGTCATCTTTTACTTCTTATTTGTTTGCTTTACCTTAAAAATGCCCTTATCTGAAATGCTTTGGCTGTTTAGTATTTTAGTCTGGAATTTCCATGCTCCAGTATTTCTTTGAACTTTATCTCATTTGGCATTCTCTCCAGATCCAAATTTTCTTTCCGTGTGGAGACCTACATGTTGGAATTGTACAATGACAAACTCATCGACTTATATTCCAAAACTCATGGAGAGGTAAGTTGGCAAAGGTTAATTACAAGAAGGCATTAAAAAGCATTTTTGTTACCTAAAAAACAAGGGATAATTGTAAGGTGATTTACTTTATTTGAGAAGGATTGAAGAAAATTGGCATGTAGGATTTGCACCAACGAGCTATGAAACTCGACTTCCTGAAGTTGAGTTTTTCACACAAATATTACATAACTGATAGCATGCTTTCCATAAAAAAATGCCTAAATTCCTCCTGTCAGGGTGTCAAACTGGACATCAAGAAGGACAAGAAGGGGCTGGTCTTTGTGCATGGTTCAGTAGTTCATGAAGCTTCAAATGCCAAAGAACTGTATGGACTGTTTGAACAAGGCTCATCAAACAGACATGTTGCATCAACCAGTAAGTACATGTACTCCACATGTCATGATGTAGCTCATTGACAGATGATCTTCAGTTCCCAAAATAATCTTTGCCAAACTTGCAACTTTCTTTACCATTCCTGTGTTAGAACTTTTGTTTGTCTATGTGTATTTATTTTGTTTGTTCCAGAAGGTGTACTGAACCTCATTACAAAGAGTTCCTTTGGACTTTGTAGGTTACCTTGTTACAACAGGATTATCAGGAATATAAAAAATGAAAAACAAAAGATTGGTACCTAAAAGTTTCTTTGTTATAAGCACACTGTTGTATGAACAGTGTGCTTACTAACAAGGTTCGACTGTACTTTGAAGTAGATTGATGTTCACTCTTGTTTTGTTCACAGAGATGAATGCAGAGAGCTCCCGGTCTCATTTGATCATCGGTGTAGTCATCGAGAGTACTAACCTCACCACAGGAACCGTTACCAAGGGCAAACTTAGTCTGGTAGATTTGGCTGGAAGTGAACGAGCTGCAAAAACAGATGCCTCAGCTCAACAACTCAAGGTTTGTTTCTCTTATCTCATCGGAGATATTAAAGTTCATTTTTATAGAGCATGTGGTACTTGCTTAACATATCTCCTGCAATGGCTTGAATTTTGAGTCTCGTCTAGTAGTCCCTTTGTACACATTAGAAATAATCTTATAGGCTTGATACTTCAATCTGTCTTTAATGACAGGAAGCAAACTCCATCAACAAGTCTTTGAGTGCATTGGGTGATGTCATCTCAGCATTATCTAGTGAGCAATCATTCATTCCATATCGTAACAACAAACTCACCATGCTGATGCAAGATTCCCTTGGAGGTAATGCCAAGACACTCATGTTTGTGAACATCTCACCAGCTGATTATAATGCAGAGGAGACAGTCATCTCATTGACGTGAGTACCCATCATTCACTTTCTTTGTTGTCTCTGGCAATATCTTTCTTAATGAAAAGATTTTTTCTTACTGTCATTTATAAGCTGTAGTTACCGTTTCTTTTGGTTACAATAAAGCAATCCATATAGAGGCAAAGTGTGTTGATAAATTACCATCTTCAGAGCATTTCAGAATGAACCTTAATCCTTTGCTATTATTTACAATTTGTAAAATTCTACATTAGGTTTAAATTAATGTTCACTTTTTGGGGGCAGGTATGCGTCAAGAGTCAAGTTGATCACTAACGATGCTTCTAAGAATGCTGATAACAAGGAAATTGCCAGACTCAAAGAGGTCAGTACACAAAAGTGTTGTATTCAAGTCCATCACAAGTCTCTATAAGTCCCTGTAAGTCCATCCGTCTCTATAAGTCCCTGTAAGTCCATCACAAGTCTCTATAAGTCCCTGTAAGTCCATCACAAGTCCATTACAAGTTATGCAGTCATTCACAAGCTATTCAAATGAGTTGGGACAAAAGCATTCTTTTGTCATTGTTCACCCCACTAATTATGACTGGACTTGTGAAAGGACTTGTGACGGAATCGAATGGAACACTAGTACATGGGACATTTTCTCTCAGTCAAACTTGGCTCGCCTCTTCACATTTTTAGATTGCACTGAACTATGCTGATGCCATTCATCAATACTTAACAGCAGAACTATTGTCTTGTCTATCTTGACAGATCATTGCTAAGATGAAGCAGGGTGAGACAGTGGAAGTGGAGGAAGATGGTGATGAGTAGTCAATGCAAGTTGGTCTTGGAATGAATGGATGAGTTGAACATAACCCTCCCCCAAAGCCTCAGCAATTTAACTTTGGAGATGGTTAAATTTGTAGGATTGTAAAGAATTAATTTTTGGGATATACATGAGTAGGAGTGTAAATGAACACCTGCTCTTGAGAGGTTTATTGAGAGATTAATGCATCTTGCATTTTTTAGAATTTGTTTGATTGTGTCAAATGAATTGAGAGCTGTTATCATATAACCTCCAAAATGAATATACCGGTAGCCTCTCTTTGTTGAATTGAATGTTTGACAAAATCCTCCTAATGTTTGTAAATGTGCATATTCATGTTGGATTTTACCTTTTCATCAAAAGCCAAACAGGTCAGTGCAACACTTTTGAAGATTGTAACAAGTATGATGTGCTATTTTGCAAAACGAGTTTAATTGAAATTATGTCTAAATTTACAGTGTTGATTTCTCTGAATTTTGTGTTAATGAAAATGGCAAAGTATATGAATTTCGTACTTTTTAGGAGGCATTTGCAATGAACACCACCATTCATAGCTTCATAGTCCATACTTAACTATTTCTATAGAACAAATTTCTTATGTAGTATTGAATATATATTTTAAAAAAATTAGTGAAAAGCTGTAAAATAGTTCAAGTACAATATTTTGTACAATAAAAGATGTGAAATATTACAGGATTTTATATAACCTTTCTCAGAGAGGAAAACGTGCTTGCACAAGATGTAGAAAGATTTTTTTCTCTGAACAAAACTTGCACTTCTTTTCTCACACATCTTCCATTTTTCAAATGAAAGTGTAGAAGTGTACATTATGATTTCATATTTATCATTTCCATTATTTTGTCATTATTTGTACTTGAGGATTTTTGTGACACAGCTGAATGCATGCTGTGTGAAGTACCAATAGCTTGTTTTTTTTAATTAATGCATTCACGTCTATAAAATGTACAATGTAAATTTATTTCATTGGGTTCTACATAGATTTTTATTTCACGTGATTGCATGCAGTAGTTTTATATTTTCGTATTTCTAAAAAAAATTATCAAGATTGAAAAGCAGAAGCTCATTCATATAATGTAATGTTTCATCCGTCCACTTTATTTTACGTATAATTTTTTTTTAGTTCAATGATACAATATACGTGATTTTTTTTTCGATTCAGGTATGTGAAAAGGTTTGACTAGCCGACCAACGTGATTTGTCAAATATCATAAATGAAGGTTGAGCATGAAAAAGCATGAAATAACCTGCTCTGAAGGCAATATCTTTCATGTTTATTGTTTGTTACCAGCCGTCCAACTTGATTTGTTCATCTGTGGTAAAAGCAATAAAATTTCTGAATGCAGCAGCAGATGGTTTTTGTATAGTACATCAAATACATGTGCTCGATCAAAAACTGCGAACGTTGAGGGCGCTTCGAAGAAACGGTTTCTTCTGCTTGCGCTTCCCCGCTCATATATCGGCACACCGGGGCTTGGGCTTAAACGTTGCGGATGATTGTAAGTTGTGAAAGTGAGTTGTAAAAGAATGTAGTAATACCGTGGAAAGTTTGTAATGCCGTGGGATTTTACATGTTTGTTTTGTCTTCACTTTTGGAATCGGAACTGACATGAAGCTTTAAATTGAACTTTGGTGATAAGCGGCGCGGTCTCTGCTATAACACTGCTACTGCTACTACTAGTAGTAGTAGTAGGCTTAGGCCTACTATTAAACATGCTAAAGCACTAGTAGGCCTACTAGTAAGTAGCAGTAGCTGTCTAGTAGTAAGCCTAATGACCCCGTTTATAGTTCCTTTATACAGCATTGGCATTACCAGATTAACGCACCACATTCCGACTCTTGTAGAGCCGACGATCATTGAATGAAGAAAATAACCCATTTCTAATCTCAAACGTCAGGGTTATGATATTTTTGTTGAAAAATTTGTGATTGATTTAATGTTGTGTAGAATTAGTAACTATGTATGAATTTTTTCAAACATTCTGTCCCTGGGAGTCCATGCTTCAAAGTCTTTAAAATAAATTAGGCCTAAATTGGTCGCTGAGACTAGTGCATGAGTTTGAGCAGATTTTTTTGGTTTCTACCCCTCTATCCTGAAGCACTAACCTTGCAGCATACAGCGGCCTGTCCTTGTCCAACCATGAGTTACTTTTAACACGTTAACACTAGCTCCATGGTCCAACGCATAAACTCTCAAATCATGTAGTGTAATGTAATTTACATGCTTTACTGGCAGCACTGTTCAGTAAGTGTGCATACAGTTTGTATGGGCATGACGAAATGCCACATATTGCCATTAGGCCTTAAAATATTTATCATTAATCTCTGTTTTAGCAATATTTGGTGGAGAAATGGCAACACGGAAGATGCTTTTCGTGTTTGACTTTGATCAAACAATCATCAATTGCAATATTGACGTCTGGATCAGAAGGCTTCTTCCTAATGGTAAGGTTCCGAAACAAATCAAAGATCGATACAAGGAGCATGACAGTTGGACACAGTACATGGCAGATATCTTCTCTCATCTGCACAGTTCAGGCATTCACAAAAGTGAAATCTTGGATAGCATTGCAGAAGTTCCATTCACTCCGGGGATGGTAGAATTGTTGAAGTACCAGCAGACAGCACCTTCTATTGATACCATCATTGCATCAGATGCCAACTCCCTGTTCATAAGCCACATTTTGGAGTCTGCAGATCTTCAAGGAGCATACCAGGAAATCTTCTCCAACCCGGCAGAATTTGATGAAGCAGGTTGCATTGGAATAAACCATTACCATAAACATGAGTGCCAAAGATGTCCAGTAAACCTTTGCAAAGCAACAGTGTTGAAAGCCTATCTTCAGAAAAAGTCACAAATTGACCCCGTTGTCTATGATACAGTTGCATTTGTCGGAGATGGTACCAATGACTTTTGCCCATGTCTTAGTCTTGGAGAAAATGATCTCATCTTCGCAAGAAAAGGATACAGACTTATGGAAGAGATAGAACAGTGTATGAGTGTCAGGCCAGATTGCACTGCCAACTGTAAGAGGATTAAAGCAACTGTAATTCCGTGGGATGATGCTTTTCAAATACTACACTATGTGCAGGAGATTTATTCATCAAAGACTGACAAAGCAAACTGACGGCCCTGTTGATCTTGGTTGCCCCCTTACCTGGGTAATCACTTTTCATCAGTTAAAATTTCACCTGTTAGTCTATGGATCATGGAAAACAAATGGGAAACATTTTTGTTTTGGTTGCTGAAAGTGAATTTCGTTAACTCTCAAGTGTCTAATTTAAAACATGTCCGCATATTGCAGGACCCACAACTGATTCCAAACTGAGGGACAAAGGATCAAGAACAATTTTATTTGGAGGGGGAACTTGTTTTATGGTGGGCAAACAGGTTAACAAGTTTTCATGTTACCCTTTTTGAGAGCTTAGTGAGGCTAGTTTGGTGGTTTATAATGCTTTTGGAAATGAAGTGGACGCCTCCTTCAATTGTTTTTTTGTAGGGGGTGGGCATGGCCTCCATTACCTCCCCCCAATCTGCCCTGGTTGCTATATCAGTTTATTCAGTTAATCATCATTTTGAAGAGTGAGGAGTTCCTGAAAGCTGTATCATGATCTCTCAAGACATCTGTAGTGCTTGCTGACACAAGCCAATTAAGAATTGAATATGAAATTGAAAAGGCCCCACATGAGAACTTAAGTTAAAATGTACATTTATTGCATACATAATTATGTGAACAATGTACATGTATGTTCACTGCCGCCTGCTACAGAGAAATAACACAGATATGGTATCTATGGTACATGTACCGGTATAAAGATGGTTTATTGACCCTTTAGAAATTTATGTAGGCCTACTCCAGAAAAAAAAAAAAGGATATGCATACCACTGCTGTAAACAAATACTTTGGAGGTTTCAAGAGGTTCTTTTAGTAGATGTGTGTATAGAAATGTGAGTCATTCATTTTTTTGTTGAAACTGAGGTAAGGTACAAATATCAGCACACCTTATGTAGACCAGGATACTGAATTTAAATTTTTCAAAATTCAACCTTTCTTTTGAAAGAAAACAAGTTACATAAGGAAAACTTCTGCTTTGTGCAAGATAAACCATCGATTTGAAATCCAGAAATAAAGCTTCAGAATGCATTCAGATTCTTAATTTGAATAAATATACCCAATAACACACTTTGATGCATGAAAGAACAGACAAGGTCAATAAAGGGCAGTGCACACTGGACTAACTTTTGAATGTACTGAGTTTTTTCATGCACTTTGGAAGGATAAAAGCAATGTTTTCAACCACATATATTAAGCAGTAATTTATTAATTTCAAACATTAGTTAGGTTAATTTCATCATTTGCAAAGACAAACAAAGTTACAGAGCCTGTTAGTCTCACCAAGATACAATGTACATCTCAAGGTTTGATGGGCGTACTGCTGACAGATTCTTTCTTTAACATGTTGGTGCATTTGAGGAAAGAAACTCTAGCAAAGGTCTGGAATGCTCTATGCACAGGTTCTATGCACTGTATCTCATACACATAGCACAAATATTTCTTTTCTGTAACTCTGTCTACCTTTTCTGTCAAGAAAAATTTGTACAATGTAAATTTGCATTGCTTGCATTTCCATTAAATCCTAAAAGTACACAACAAAAATACAATTAAGTTGATAAAAGAATGCATGCAACCTTACTCGGACCCCAACTTAATGTTACCATAAGAGCAAACTTTCTATACATGTAAACAATGGAGAAACATACTTATCAATTAGTCTAACTTTCTAAACCATATTAAGCTAGGGGAGGGAACATATTGAAACAAACATGTCAAACTGAAATGAGTGGTTCTCTACTAATGGAGTCTTCAAAACTGCAAACGTTTATCTCAAGATTAAGTATCATACATGTATAGGGTAAGATTAGACTGTTACACCTGTTGCAATTAAAGTGAATGTCAAAATCAAGCTCAAACGTTGATGCGGAATAAAAGTAGTCGTTGAATGTGTACTGACCAACAGTTTTGGCAAAACTTTGTCCACTTTCTAGGTAATTTCATGCTCTGCTGATAACAATGCGCCCGCACACTGTTTAGCAGACATGTCCCCTGGGGTATAACACCTACATATTATTAGTATACATGTACGGTTAGCGGGTTGCAGTCAATTTAGTTTTAGTAAGACAAACACATACACAGATTTACAAACTAAATGAACTCATACAATATTCAAATGAAATGAAAAACAAAAAGTTAGAAAAAAGTACGTCTTTCCCAAAATAAGAAAAATCAGCCAATAAGTATTCACATCAAAAATACCCATTTTGAAAATTCTTTGGAAATTAACTTTCAAAATCTTCACTTTACATGTATCCACTGTACCTACATACATGTACATCCTGTATATGACGTTTAGAAATAAGTTATTTTTACTTGTACTGAATAATCTACCATAACGTCAAATCAGAGAGAGTGAACATTAAAATTATGATTTTAGAAATTTGAGGTACATGTACCCTGTACACTGCATTATTCAAATTGAAAAAAAATCAGGGAAAATATGCACTTAATTCATGTTTCTTACAAGAGAATATGTATATCCCCTAGGATTTCTTTTACAAAGGGAAAATGTCTGTTTTCAGTCTTAAATGTTTTCATTCCTAGCAGTTGAGAGTAGCAAAACCACCTTGGATGAATTTCGCAGCTGTCAGGTAATGTGCTAAGTGAAACTAAAGAATATCACAGCCCAACCCTTTCAACTAAAATTAATGGTTTCCCTCCAGTTTGGTTACTAGTACAGCAGCCATCCTCAAAATGTTTGAAATACACAGGTGGCAGTAAGACAGCTGTCATGAGAGATGTGCTACCATCTGTCAAGACTGACCTTTGACATTCATAAGTAACACCATCCTTACACACTGGATGGGGATTAATATTTATTGATGTTGAATATTCTTACACCGTGGAACATGGGCAACTTGGGTAGCACAATGATCAGCGTAAAGATGCCATTAACAAGGAAGTGTGTTGGTTGATACTTGGTGTAAAAGCTGGCCAAGAAAAACCTGTTCAAAATAGTCATAAAACAAAAATGAATGGTTACATTCATAACCAATGTAATTCTAAATTTTCAAAGTAGTTGCTGAGGATGACGTGCTTAAATTGCGAAATCATATGCAAATTAAAACAAACTACATTCTGTAAAAATACAGCTCCCACTTATAAAAACTAACACAGCAGCATGTTCAGAACAACATATTCTTCCATTTTGATTTAGACAATGTCTATTGGCTAGAAAAAGACCTCGTTTCCTTGATGAGAACAGTACGATCAAAAAGCAGCTTCCTGGGTGATGCTGTGTGATTTGTACACGTAGCGGTTTATGCCAACCCCCAAGGGTAGGTTGGACAACTGAGGACTGTTAGAGTTAATGACTTACATGACAATGGGAACGACTGTGAGGAATTTTCTGGTGGTTGTAAACTGGTCTCCATTGTCAATCTGCTCCCACTGTGTTAAATAACGTTCTGTTTGCTGAGAATCTGACCATATTGATCCTTTGATGTAGTGAAACAGGAGGTACATCAGCTGTGTGTGTGAAAATAAATAGCTCCAATTTAATCAAATTATTACATGTGTACTACATGTACTTAGTTCCAACTCATAACTTGAATTCATCTAAGGTATCAGATATGTACATACATGTACAGTACATGTACAATTAAAACTGCATTTTCTTTTGTTGACTTTCAACACCAGCTGGAATTGCAACCCATTTTAAACCAATATTAAGTGCGATTCATAACACTACAAAACAGTTATGTATGGTTGTTTTTTTTTTCAAAACCAATTCTACTGACCAGGCTGTGTGTGACCGTTGTAAGTGTCCACACCATTGCTACATTCAAGAATGGTAAGCTGAGAAAGAACAAATGCAGTGCATAGGTTCCAATCAAATATGAAATCCACATGCCACGGCTACCCAACCATGAATGAAAGGGCGTCATGTTGGACTCAATCACTCCATTGGTAACTGTGCTGGGCTCAGAAGACTGCTCAGATATTTTCATCTTCATGGCTTATATTTTGTGACTCGTCTTCAGGTCAATTGCGATTTTCTTTCGCCTGGATCCTCCAAAAAAAGTGAAGAACGAAATCTACATACAAGTGATGAAAATAAAAGTTAATACAAAAATGTTGGTTTCAGTCCAACATTGACAACTGGAAGGACTACCGTATTTTATTTATAGTGTTCTCTTGGGACAACAATGTGGTATTATAACATGAATGATGCAGAAGACTATAAATATGACTTACTGAGCGACATAACATACTACATGTACTTGTAATAAAGCTAAAATGTGCCACAGTCAGACAATGTACAGTTATTTGTAAACATGCCAAATGAACTTCTTACAATTTAGGCTAGTTCCCTCTGAGACCGGTAAACAGGGCCCAACGAATACTCCTCCGTCATATATTGGGCCCTGTCCCGATTAATAGGGATTTCTTTTTAAAACTTTATCCAGGACATCTGGGGGCACCGGTATGTTCACTACTTATGCTGTAAAAAATTTAGTAGGTTGCCAATTGTAGAAAACTCGCCTTTTCCTTGTTTGGAGGAAAAAATGTTGCCTTTTTTGCCATTTTTCCACTCTGTACAAATTTTCGCCTGACTTTTACATAACACAAACTCCTTTGTATGGTTATGTGGTACCCTATACGAGAGCCTGTCTAGTTTGCACCCAGACTTCAGCACCTACATGTATGAGTTCAGCACCTTCAGATCTGCGAGAGTACCTGTCGATCTAAGTACTCGTAGAAAATTACAGTTGTTTTGTGTTGCAGCTAATAAGCAACGCCCTTGGCTGGTTCCCTGTCCAGTCATACACTGTTTGCGGCAAATCATTGGTAGCGCGGCTTGCTCTCTGTAACATGACAGGAAAGTGACGAAACAGCCGTCGCTTTTGTACAAGTGAAGTGGGACAAACTTCATCTAGAGTGGGAAAATGGAAAAAAAGGCAACATTTTTTCCTCTGATGAGGAAAGGCGAGTTTTCTACAATTAACAACCTAGTGGATGGTTTACACTGTAAGTAGGCCCAGGGAACATATCGGTGCAATTTCAGCTCATAAAATCAAGCGAATGTTTAGTTATTCCCCTGGATATCCCGGATAACTTTTCGAAAGAAATCCCTATTAATCAGAACAGGGCCCAGTTTACGACAGAGGAGTATTCGTCGGGCCCTGTTTACGGGTCTACACGAAGTTCCCTCCATGGAGGAAGGAGAGGATACAAGATCAAAGATCGCCTGTAAATTCCCTGTCATACCGGCGCGGTATGACTTACAAGTGAACAGAGAATTGCCCTTTGCCCAGACGTGAGTGCAATTAATGGAACAACCTCCAGCCGCCATGTCCGCGAGAATGTCTGAATGTGAATCTGTTGGCAAAGCCTCTTACATGTCTAAAAAAAAATCTGTGACTAACAAAGTAACATGACTAAGACATAAGTATGAGTAAGACATGCAAGACTAGGCTCCATCGTTCCATCATTCAAAGACTACGAGTACGAATTGCCTACGTGTAACGTACTGAGAAAAATAGTCAGCGGCACCATTCCCCAAAAAAAATTTCAAATATTCGAAGCAATTAACAAACCTCAGTTAAAACTGTTGAATATCACAGAAAAGTGACGTTTTGATGAATACCTTCTGTCTCTGTTTCGTTGGAACGTCACACATACCATCACTCGATCTGAAGTATACCCTGTTTCATTATCGGGCGAAGTCTATAGTTTTTTGTGCATTGATGTAATGACAATAGAGCACCAGACTACAAGTTGACCACAATTGTGATACATGTGAAGTAAGCTGTTTAACAATTGGATTACACATATTTGCATTTTACCGTTATAAATAAAATCTCAGTATAAAACAACAAAGAAGATTAAATTTGGTTGTGTACAAATATATGACAAAGAATAATAAATTTTATTTGTAAGAAAATGTATTAATTTTGAATACTTCCCAACACCCAAACGAAGGAAACTGCACATAGAAAATATCCCACCAGCCAATCAATTTAACCAATGAATAAATAGCTGGTCAAGAGCGCTGAGCACAGGCGTAAAATAAAAGATGGGTCAAGGGGATGTTTTTAGTGGCAACACGGAGGGCGCTCTTTTAAGCTTTAAGATTACTGCATGCTGGCCAGCTGAATCCACAGACATAAATCATTGTAAATAAGTATCCGTGTAACTTACGTTACTAATGTCTATGGCTAAATCATCAAAAACACTCGTTTCATTTATTATCCAGAGCATTCTCACAAAGTAAGCCTACATTACATATCTCTTTGCATGTACAGCTTCGTGTCCAAAACCAACGTTACTTCTGGTGTTTAAATGCTTACATCTTCCGTGGACTGAAATTGTGGTAAGGCACAAAAGATGGATCGAGTTTAAACTGGAAAATTTGACCTTGGTTTAACTTTTTACAAAATTTACTTAGCCTTAGGCCTAGCCTAGGCTAACATTAGCATGCCTCGGGCCTATTTAAGGGGGCGGGGCTACAGTTAAAAGCTTTGACGGGGTTAATTTTAATGATAAAATTTAAAGGCTGACTTAACCCTGTTGTAACATTATTCAGCCCAATTGAGCTTAGGCCTAATCATGATTGCCTGTCATGTCTGTGGTGCGAAAATTATGATGTGTATTTTTCATTTGTCTCTTACACACAAATCGTCATTTTGTTTCATTTAGGCCTAGGCCCTAGCCTACTTAGGAAAGAATTCCATGTACGGATGCCACTAGTTTTTCCCTGCAGTGACCTACAGTGTATTCTGAATGCAATAAAAAGTCCTAAAAAGCCAATTTAGCTGTGAAAATATGGAGGCATCATCTCTGAATACACTTCAAATTTTGTAGACCAGTCTACTCTCACAGACATGGGCCTCCCAGGGTGTCAAGTGGCATATGGAATTCTTTTGTTACGCCTACTTGGCAGACTTTTTAACAACGTCAGACTCAGAGCATAAAACTGTACTGCGCCCAGCCATTTTAAGCAGAACTTTTGACTAAATGACATTGAATGTGTTCTGCATTGTCTCACCTGTGGAGGGAGACTTCACTGATTGTGCTATTGTTGGGCATGATTGCACGGCACGTTTGGGTCAGGTCTTTAGTATTTTCAACTTTACTTCCCCTTTCAAAACAGTCTTGTGAATTAAAAGATAATGAGATTGGCTGAGTGATAGTGGAATTATCAGTTACATGTATTCGTGCAAATGAGATTGACTTATCACGCAAAGATTGAGCGATTGTACTGACTGACTGAGAAATTAGAAATTTCTGTAACTTTGGCAAGTTTCATAGGTCCCAAGATAAAAATGTCACAGGTATTGCCAGACAGTGTACCTGCTGTTGTAGATGTACTCGCAGGTATGTGAATCACGTTACTATTACTAATAATGTTTGACTGATGGTACAGTACAATTTAATAGTACTAAATTGTAGTGTACTGTACAATTTTCCATTTCCATGGTACCCCTCTTTGCAAATGTCACTGAGTCAGGTCATCAGTACTTTTAAGTAGCTATTCTGTTTCACACCTTCCTTTAAATTTAACCTTGAGGATATCATAAATTAACAGAGAATGAATTTAATTTACATATCATCAACATTCTAGCCATGGTGGATGGTGCTGGGCAGCACCACCCGGTACTGCGAATTTCTGCCCAGCTCATGGGTTCAAATTGGCTGTGCCGCCCAGCACATATTTTCCAAAAAATTAATTGAAATATTGCTGAAAATGTACCAATTTGATCATATTTCAGGCTTACAAAGTTGCACTTTTGCACTATTTTACAATTTTAATCAAGTGAGTAAAGACCTAAGAAATATATTTCTCACAGATCAGCAGCTGATTGCAAAAGCATTATTGTAAACATGCCTTCATGATGATGTAGGGGGAAATCCCTTCTGGTATTCCCCTAAAAACCCAGCTATGGGCTGTGAGAGCTCTGCTAGCACTCACTGCCCTTACAGCACTTGATAATCCAAAAGTTTGCCTGCCACTAAAATGGTCCTAGCTAGAACACTGCATACATGTGTATATGTATCATGCTGTATTAACCCTGGCATTTTGACCTCATGAAGAGTTGTTTGGTTAGTACACAGTATGTTTTTAATCTTCAAACTTACCTTTTTCTTCGTTACATTTATCAATTGTTTTGTAATTATTTCAGGTTAAACTGCTCTGCACATCTATTCATTTTAGTTCTTAAATGCTTTTTTGTCTCGGTTTGATTTATAAGTGTATATTTGTTTTCAGTTTTGGAAGAATGACTAATAATGGCCTGTATGCAGAAGCTATCAGCAGATACAATTCGTCTGATCACCAGCTCCCAGGTCATTACCTCAGTTGTAAGTGTCGTCAAAGAACTCACTGAAAATTCATTGGATGCAGGAAGTGATAATATTGAAGTCAAATTGGTAAGTTTTCTCTCTTATGCAAAGTTTACAGACATTGACTGTGCACCTGACCGTCAGAGGAATAGTGTACATGTATTTCACATCTTAATCAAATCTAAGTGTATGCTGTTTACCAGAAAACATAAACTGTTAATTTACCTGTGTGATATTTAACTGACTGAATCTTATTTACAACTAGAATTGCTACATTCATGTATCAAAAACATTAACTGCTTACAGGACAGAATTACAAACCATACTTGTACATGTACGTGTATATTTACATACATGTTTTTGATACCTACAAATCACAGTAGGCCTACTGTATAAACTAAAATCCTATTTGGCTTTATGTGAATCACAGTGTCTTTAGAAATTCACTCGTCCAAAATTTGACCCTCTAATTTCTGGGAAACTTCATATTTTTTATGTACCCTACTTATCAGCCTTTTGTTTGTGGCCACTTATCTTTTATGCCCTGCTGACAAATTCAAGATACGTAGTGTTTCTGCCTTGTCCTTCCGCCTTGAATTGGGTATGAGTGTGTGTGTCAGGAATATGCTCGTCAGCGCAACATCTTCAACAGGGATGGCTGATTTAAGTCACCAATTTAAATCAAATGATTTTTTAAATCATTACAATAACTGTACTACATGTAGATGCTATAATTGTTGACAAACCTGTGGTATTTGACAGAAGCAGAAAACTTGTACAATTAAAAAAGAAGATATTTTTAACCCGTTTCTGTTGATCATCCTAATTGTTTCTAATGCAGGAAAATTATGGCTTTGATAAGATTGAAGTACGGGACAATGGAACTGGCATTAAACCTGCTGATGCTCCTTACATGGCCAGACGACACTTCACATCCAAGATATCCCAGCATTCTGATCTAGAATCCTTAGCAACATATGGATTCCGTGGTGAAGCACTAGGATCACTCTGTGCTGTGTCTTTGGTTACCATAGTAACAAAGACACAAGATGATGAATTTGGACGTCAGTATCAGTTGGATCATGAAGGAGGAATCGTTGGATCCAAACCATCACATCAAGGAAATGGTTTGCAAATTATTTTATACTCTCTCCTGATGATACCATTGAAGAACTTTTACAGCCCTGGGAAGAGTTATCTTTACTGTGGGAAAGCTTCTTTTTGTCATTTTAGTACTATGTTATACATTGTGAAACACACTTCTCTACTCAGTATTGTTTTGGTGAATGATTCTCAAAATGCGTGAAACGAACAAACAGCTGCCTTATACACTAAATTTGTTATTATTCATGATTTGGTTTTCTGATAGCTGATGTCTTGATGAGATTCTTTCCCTGGATAATACCTGAGTTTCTGATTTCTTATCTGCTTGTTTGTTACACTAGGGACTGCTGTCACTGCAACGCACTTGTTCAAGAATGTTCCAGTGCGCAAACAGTATTACACCAATGCAAAGAGACAGAGGGATGAGCTGAAGAAAGTGGAGGATTTAATCATGAGTTATGGAGCCATACGACCTGCTGTACGCTTCTCCATCAGTCATAACAAGAGTGTCCTCTGGCAGAAATGCAAAGTGGCCAATCACAAGGCAGCTTTGATAAGTACATGGGGAGCTAGTGTGATGTCTCAGATGCAATATATGCAGAAGTTGGATAAGGACACTGAAGTAAGATTTGTAACATTTCTAATTGAAATCAGATTGTAGCTCACTTTGGGGGCCTACCAAGCCACTCATTTCTAAATTGATTAACAAATGTGGAACCCATTGCACAAACCTTACAAACATCACACTTGCATATATACATTTTATATCTAAGTTTTTGCATAATTGATTGTGTCCACATCACAGATTAGAATAGAAGGCTTTGTACCAACTCTATCAGCAGACTACCAATCAGCAACAAGAGTTTTACCAGACAGATGTTGGATTGCTATCAATGGTCGACCAATCACCTTCAAGGAAGTTGAGAAGGTAAAAACTAGCTAAAAACCTTGCTGCCAAACTTTACTTCATAGAAAGATTGCCCTCTTGATATTCACATATTTATTCAAAATACACACGCTTGAAGTGCCACAAAGTTACCACTCTTGTTATGCCACATTGCAGTCTTTTTATTTTATAATTAGACTCAATGCTATACAAAAGTATGCAACTATCAAATTTCAAACGTTTTCAATTTTCTTTTATTCAATTTGTAGATGGTTAAACAGTCATACTGTCAAGCAGTCAAGCGTGAAACATCATCTGTTCGTCATTTAATCATTTTTCTGAGCATCACACTACCTCAGTATCAAGTAGATGTGAACCTTGAACCAAATAAAACAAAAGTCTTGCTTCAAAACAAGGTAGGTGTCCTAATCTGTTGTAAACATTTGATTGGCCCAACATATTAATCTTTCATAGTGTTTTGGAAAGGCTAAAAAAGTAGTTTCTTGTAATTTTTATTTGGGTCAGACATAAAAAGTTACCACTTGGCTGAAATAGAACTTTGTAGTCATAGTGTACTTCTTAAATCAATATGTTTCCTTCAATTTGCAGGAATCCATGCTATCGGTCCTGTCAGATTTACTTGATGAGGTTTATGGAAGAGCACCAGATGACCATACTACTGGAACAATCGCCAAAATCTCCACACATGAGCGGGTTAATTACGTACCCAACATCGAAACTATAGACAGTATGCCCAAACCAATAGCCCCTGATGACAAGAGTCTTTGTAACGAGGATGTTGTATGTGAAGACAACACAGATTCCTGCAGTAAGGAGAAATTAGACTGTGAAATAGAAAATGGTGTATTACACCAGAAAAATCTAGGGAGACCAAGTCATCAGGATCAAGACCATGATGGTCCAGAGTGCAAAGCTTCTGAAGAGGCTAAGGAATCTGCAGAAACATCCACTGATTCAAATGTTCCCTTGACCCCTGATCCCCCTAGGGCATCCAGTGATCAGTCTGTAAGTGCCTCACAAGCACCAAGTGATTTTGAACTGAACTTCAGTATCTTTGATGATGATTTGCATTTGGAAGGTTTAAATGAAACTCTAACAGATTGTGATTTAGGTGAAGTGAAGACTCCAGAAAATGAGTTTGTAAACCAACATGTGTCTGAGAAAGCAGAGAAGGCAACAAGTGATACTTCCTTGACAGGGGACACTGCTGAAAATGTCAAAACAGTGACTACCTCGGTCAGTTTGGAAGATTGGAGTAGAGGAAGTGGACTAACACACAAAGACAGTGAAAACTTAGAGTCTGCTACACTTCTTATCCCAAGAAATTCAAACGAGGACACATCGGTAACCATCAGACCAGAACAACTTTCAGCCAATCAGAGGGTAGAAAACACTGAGTCACAAAAAACAACATATTGCACTCTAAACTCAAACCCTACCAACCAGAAGAACACTCTCAATTTGTTAACTAGTGTGACTCCTGGAAATAGCACGGCCACTCAGGAAACAGGAAGTCCTGCAGCCAATCGGAAAAGAAGCCCATCTAAACGAAGACTTTTCCTGGAGAAAAAGATGGGCAAAGGAACAATGTATGATCTCATCGGTGGTTCCCCTATAAGAAGACCAATGAGTTCTTATGAACTTTTCTGCAAAGACATGAGACCACAAGGTGAGAGATATAACAACTATGCAATGCAGAGAGTCTACACGTGGCATCAACCACCCACTATCGTTGTGACTTGAGCAGCCTTTGGAAAACAAA